CTTTGAGGCCTCAGTTGTGCATGAACTGTGGCTTTGGAAAAGCCCCAGAGGCAGGAGCGCAGAACTGACAAGTTTGCTTGAGAGAGGAAGCCATCAGTTTGCTATGGACTAAATGTTTGCCCACCCCCACCCCAATCTATATAGTGATGGCGTCACTCTAATGTGACAGTACTTAGAAATGAGGTCTCTAAGAAAGTGACTAAGGGTAAATGAGGCATAAGAATTAGGCACTGATCTGATTAGTGTCCTTAGAAAATGAGACACCAGAGAACTCAGACCGTCTCTCTATGTTGGTATATACAAGAAAAGGCCATATGGAAACACAATGGGAAGGTGATGAACTGTGAGCCAGGAAGTAAGACCTCACCAGAAACTAACCATGTTGGTACCTTGACCTTGGGTGCGCAGCCTCCAGAGCTATGAGATAATGTCTGTTGTTTAAGCCTCTCTGTCTGTGATATTTTGTTAGAGCAGGCTGAGTTGAATAATACATAGCCTGGTTCTGACCTTGTGACTGAAATCATAGGTAGGCCAAGAGATGTGACGTGGGAGACCAAAGAGATCTACTATATACCCTGGGTTTCTCCTTCCTCCCCCCCATCATGAGTCCTTTTGGTGACCTCCTATTTATTCCCCAGAGCTTACTTTAAGAGTCACCATTTTATGAAGCCCTGCCCTCAACATTTTCCCTGAATTAGATGCCAACTCCTCTGTCCTCCTGGGTGGCTTGTACCTCCTGGCAACCCTCTGTAACTGTTTCTTTGTCTGGTTCAGCTCCCTCACCAGATTACAAAGCTTCTGGAAGGTGAGGGTCCTTAGTGCCAAGAACAATGTCTGGCATATAGTAATGAGGGCTCAGTCAATTTTTGTTGAATGAAGTAATATACTTAAATTTAATTCTTATGGGAAAGTGATCAAGCTAGCATTAGTTGCAGAGAAACTAGAAAAGGGACAAAGTGGGTTATAGTGGTGGCCACAGAGTTGTGCCTCTCAGAGAACCTGGGGCAGGAACAGAGTTGAAGACAGTCCAGCTGCCACCCATGAATCCACCATGGAATTCACACAGAAGCCACGGCTTCTTCTCCCAGTACACCCTGGGTCCGTGACTGAGCACAGGGAAGGGTTCCAAGTCTGCTGCTGCATGAAGGAAGATTCCTGCTAAGAGCTATCTGTTCTGGGGACTCCCCATCAACCTGGCCAAGGCTTTTTCAGGTCTTTCCTGAGGCCTGAGACTTCCCATCCAATACGTCCTTCCCTTTATCTCAACAGCATTAGACCTTCATTGTGATCTGAAGTTTCTCCCCAACCACTCCTACTCTGTCCCCTTCTACCGTTCACAGACGTTTCTCAGAGTAAGTGTCTTGGATGTCTGATTCTACCTTTATGTTTGTTTCTCAGACTTTAAGCAAAAAACTGTAAAAAAAAAAAAAGACAAAAAAGGTATAATAATAAAAGGGTCAATTCAGCAAAAGGATATAACAAGTCTAAATATATATGTACCCAATACCAGGCCACCCAAATATATAAATCAAATATTGTTAGGTCTAAATGGAAGAGGTAGACTCCAATGCAATAGCATCAACTTTGTACTTTCATCAATGGACAAGTCATCTAGACAAAAAATCAACAGAGAAACACTGGAGTTAAAGTAAACATTATATTGCTCAGTTTTTTGTCACTATAACAATACTGGAGACAGCCTCCTTATGAAGAAAAGAGGTTTATTTAGCTTGTAGTTTTGGAGGGTCAAGGACATGACGCTTGCATTGGCTCAGTTCTGGTGACAACCCTCTCGGCTATGTCCCATCATGGCAATGGCAATGAAGGGAGCATTGTAGGAGCAAGCAACTACATTGTGATACCAGGAAGCCAGAGACTGGGTGAGACCAGGATCAGGCTCTTATAGCACCCTTCTCTTGAGAAGTAATCAAGGCCCCATGAGAAATTCCTTAATACCTTCTCAGGAGACTAATAGACTTAGGACCTCCCATTAGTCACCCTCTCCTTAAATGTCCCACATTATAATATTGCCACACTGAGGACCAACATCTAAAACATAAGATCCATCCATTATACTTCTGGGTAAAATTGCAAAGAAAAGAAATCAATATGTTGACAAGATAATTGCATTTGTATGTTCATTGGAGCACTACTTGCAATAGCCAAGATATTGAATCAACCTAGGTGTCCATCAGCAGATGAATGGATTAAGAAAATGTTGTATAAATATACAATGGAATATTATTTAGCCATAAAAGGATAAAATCCTCTCATTTGTGGCAATGTGCAGAAACCTGAAGGATATTATGTTAAGTGAAATAAACCTGGCACAGAAAAGAAAATATCACAGGTTCTCACTTATAAGTGGAATGTAAAAAGAAAAGTAAATATAACAGTTGATTTCATAGAAGTAGACAGTAGAATAGCCAAAAAGTGTTAGGGTAAGAGGATGAGGAAGTGAGGATGGTTAACAAGTTACAGGAGTGACATTGATGGGAAGAATAACTTCAATCCCCTGCAGGATAACTACGGTTGACAATAATTCATTCAATATTTCAAAATAGCTAGGTGAGAAGATTTCAAATATTCCCAACACAAAGAAATGATAAATGTGTGAGGCAACGGATATGCCAATTACCCTGACCTGATCATTACATATATTTGTACATTGAAATAGCACACTGCAACTTATAAATATGTATATTATGTGTCATTAACGTTTTTTAAATACGTATTTTTAAAAACTGTGTCACCTTATGTTTCCCAGCCCTGAAATTCATTCTGAGGGTAAGGGCAAGAAGCCTGTGAACTCTTCCGTGTGGACTCTCCCTTTCATTAATTCACAACCATTTCAGTGCCAGATTCTAGAAGCTGCAGGTACAGAAGTGGCCAAAACAGGTGAAATCTTATCCTCATGATATTACATACTAAATGGGGAAAGTACAACTGAAAATATCTAAGCAGACAACTAAGAAAGATCATTGTAGCTTGTGTTGAGTGACAAAAGAAACCAGCAAGGTGCAGGGAGCAAGGGTAAAGACTGGAAGGAGGCTGCAGTGCAGGGTCTTTAGTGGTGATCATCTCACAGAAGAGGTGGCAACTGATTGGTGAATAACAAGAAGGAGTCAGCCCAGTGAAGGTGTAGGATTTAGTATTTCAGGTCATGGGAATAGTAAATGCAAAAGCCCTGCAGTAGGAAAGGACTTGACTTGTTCAGTGGAGGCCCCTGTGTCTCTGTGTAGAAGGCAAAGTGGAAAGCAGTAGAGAAGGAATGAAAGCAGGAGAACAACCACTGGACATCTTCTACCAAAAAATTTACCTATTCAATGCACTATTAGAGTTTCCTAAGTCTCTTCCTACATCAAGCATTGCAATGCCAAAAGAAAACATACTTTTGACATCACCACAGTCTGTAAACTGCTCCAGCACTTTCCAAATCTTAAACAATTCATCATTACATAGGTCGACCAGATGACTCAGTCTCACTGAGTTCAAGAAAAATCCCTTTCCCACTATACGTAAATGTCTCCCCTAATCTGTGGAATTGATGCTCAACAAAGCTTATAGATCCCTTGTTCAGCATAATGAGTTGTTGAATATTCATCAGTTCCTTATTTCACTCTCTGCAGCCTGGTCCAAATTCTACCTCAGCACCCATTAGTCCTTTAGCTGTGTGTCTTTGTAGATTTGTCTTAGTTTCCACATCTGCAGAGGGAGGCTAATAGTACCACATACCTAGTGCGGTTCATGGAGACTTAAATTAGTCAATGAACAGAAAGTGCTTGAAACTCAGACAGTACTTGGTAAGCCACAGTGCCTGTCAACTGCTGTCAAGGGGAGTCATTTCCATTTTCTTAACAGGAGAGCCCTTCAGTCTACACCCCAGGGTTTGGGTTATTCTGAAGTATGCAATTTGACATGCAGGTATATTTAACTTATGGATGAGGTTGGGCCCCTAGAGTGCTTACCCTGGGAAGGCTTATCTGTCTCATTGTGTGAACTGGCTGGCTGCTCACAGGTGCACAGATCTGTGGGCAAATCAGGGACGTGTCTGTCCTGCAGGTGTGCAACCTTCCTTCAGAGGAGCTGGGAAAACATAGCAGACATGATGTGGACTGATGATACGGGCTTTGGGGCCGGGCGCTGGGGGAGGCCTCCAAACCCAACTATTCATATTATAGTGAGACCGTACAATAGTTACTCCTGTTTTAAATCATTGTGTTTTAGATTGGTTCATTGCATAGCAATAGATAACTGAAACAGATAGTTAGTGGGGGGACAGTGGTAGAGGTTGTTGGGAGGACTGCTGAACCTCTCTCCAAAGCTCATGTGCCCAGATTTTGCTACTCTGCCAGAGAGAAAGAAAGAGAGGGAGAGGAAAAGAGGAGTACAGAGAGGGAGGGAGAAAGGGAGGTTGAGAGGAGACAGACAGAAAGAGAGAGAGAGAGGAGATTTTCTTAATCAGACACTTCCCTTTACTTTCCACCGTCTGGGGGCATTTCCATTGATCCTAAGTGAGAATGACTGCACACCATCATTACAGTTGCTTCTGTGTCCTAATTGAGACTTGTGACCTACTTGGTGATAAAACAGAAGGCAGAGAAAGTAGGGCCCACTTGTCTTGAAAGTCCTGGCACAGATGCATAGATGCAAAGTTGGTGACTTTTCTGCCTCTTTTTATCAAGCATTCTTTCATCTTTCCAGACTTGTGGGAAGATTTACCCATCATTACTAATCTTGTTTTGTGTATTTGTAAAGATTAAAATATTAAGTACACAATCATGTACTATCATCACTCACTGTGTTCTTGAACTAGAGTCCAAATGATAAGGCAAGAGTATAAAAAATGTCCCCGGTGGGGGGGATCCCAGGGAAGGAGTGCCTGGATTCTCGAACAGGGTAAGCTGCCTTTGCATTCTACTCCCCACCTGCTGTGAGGTTGTCTTTGTTCCTTATCTGGGAACACTTGGCCAGGCTGAATACCTTTGGATTTTTTGTAGATGCTGCTCTTCTGGACAGTCACTCTTTTCCTGCTGGGGGCAGCCCAAGGTAAGACCCACACACCTATTCATGTGAAGGGTATAAACCCAAGCTCTTAAAAAGAAAGCTTTAACCAGCAGCTGTAAGTTGCTCCAGGTTCCAAGGAGAGACAGAGGGGACTCACATTCTGCTTGAGAAGGTGGGCTGGGCAGTTGGAGGATCCACTTATAACCTCTCCCCACTGGAGTGCCTTCATAAACTGGGTATTTACAACCAGAATTTTCCAGGAAAACAACTGACAAAATATCTGCAGTTAGAAGCAATGACATTTGCTATGTCCTTACCATTTGCCTTGTTAACATATTGACGTTTCAATGCCAGTTATCATGTTAATCAAGCAAATGTATCAGAAGAGCTCAGGAGGAGATTCAGAAGATTTAAGTTTGGATGGTGGTAGGTGGAATTCAAAGGACTGGTCCAGGCCAGTTGGGGGATCACTAGGGGAAGAAAGACAGGTAGAGATTGTACATTCATGGTCTTCAGACTGTCCCTGTGCAGGAGACAAAGGGAGCCTGGACAGGAGGAACCCCCACCAACCAGAGTCAGGCTTCAGGAGCAAATCCTTGAGCAGATCTACCCTTTTCCCACAGGAAAAGAAATTTGCTATGAGGATCTGGGGTGCTTTTCTGATGCTGAGCCCTGGGCTGGAACTGTGATCCGGCCCCTGAAACTTCTCCCCTGGAGCCCTGAGAAAATCGACACTCATTTCCTGCTCTACACCAATGAAAACCCAAACAACTTCCAGGTGAGACTTCTATTAAGTGAATGTTGCTGTCACTGGGGAGGGCCTGGCCATCTGTACACCATGAGCTCCTTATCTCTGTACCTACTTCCCCACCATGCCCCATTCTCTCTCCAGCTCAGACAGAGCATGTCTTCTGTAAATGTTGGCTCAAATGAGTGAATGGTTCTCAGTTATCAGAACCTCCAGGGGTCATATGGTTCTGGTCTAGGCAAATGTTTTATTGTACAAGACCCATTGGGAAGGTGAGCTCATGAGACATAACCCAGACTCACTGGGTCAGGGAATGCTGGTCCTGGGAGGTGAAGTAGGAAAAGGGAAGTCAAGGTGGGCTTCATGGAAGAGGTAGAATTATAGGCTTTGAAAGGCTAATACATTGGGCGAGGCAGAAATGGGGAAGAGGCTGATGCACAGGTGTGCTTGCTCAGCCAATGCAGGTTCTTTATCTTCCCAGGGCAGTGGTCCTTGGGCTGTTTCTTCAGGACAGCTGTTTGTAGACTGGGCTTGCTGCTTTCAGTCATTCTTAGAAGCAGCAACTCCCAAAATTCTGATGATCTCTGTTTTAGGGCTGCCATTCTGGCTGTCCTTTCAAGTTCCCCCTCAGTGGCCACCCTAAATGCCTTCAGGGAAAAGGAACAATGGAGTCTGGTCTCTAGCAGCTTCCTGCTGAAAGGGGGCGATGTTGGGCCCTGATGTTTTAGGGTTGGCTGTGAAGGGGACCATCTAGGAGGCTGCGATAGTAGAGGGTGGTTATTCCCATCAGCATCTGTAATTTGAAGTTTTCTAGCCAGGAGGAGACAAATTTTACCAACAAGTTAAGAATGCAAAGCCCAAATTAAGTAGGAGAATGAGGGCAACTACAGGACATATCTGGAGCTGGTAAAAATAGTCACTTTGTCTCGATGAAAGTAGAGGGCCCTGGCCAAAAATACGAGTTTGTGCCTAGAAGGTCTTTAATGCCAGATAGCCACACGTGCATAAGAACCACTTATTTAGCTCTCTTACTTTAATTAATTTTTTTTTGAGAATTCTGGCATAAGCGACTCCATTTGAAATTTAATGGCATGTCCCACTTGTCTCCAAACTGTTTTTGTCTCTGAGCAGTCTCATCTGAAGATTTTTCGGTTTGTTATTTTGATCCCTCCTTGTGAAGATTAGCTTTCTCTTTAAGTGTCCCACAATGGGGGAGGGGGCAAGCAATAAACAGGAAAGGTCGAAGTCAGTGCCAACTAGACCCTTTTAGCCAAATTTAAGCAACAAAGTGGCTTAGAAGGAGTGGCTCTTAAGCAGTGGGCTTCTAGATAACAACAATACAAAACAAAATCTAACAAAAGTCCATATTTAAAAAGCTAACCTGGTTGACACCTAAGTACTTATTAGAGTCATTTTTTATGGACTTGATTGTAAATATCCCGGAAGGATCAGAACTGTAATGACAAAAACATAAAAGAGCCATGGTTAGAATTCCGATGGACAATTTAGCAACTAACAGAACTGTATATTAGTACCACTAACTTTTTGTTATAGTGTTTATCTAAATTTGGTACTTTAGAAGGCCTGATACACTTGGAAAACATAAATACAGTTAACATATAGGAGCCAGCAACGGCATCACAGCTCTCTAGAGGTTATACATACATATTACTTGTTACCCTTGGAGTAAAACCTTAGATTTCCCATCAGTTGAGGAGGCAGTCAGTGACTACAAGTAGCCTAATTACAGTCACATATATATAGGGTACTAACTGCCTTAGAATCACCCAAGACAATAGTTGTTTAACTGCAATTATGAAGTCGTCTAGAAGACTTGACACAAACTGACTCTTAAATAAACTTTTATTGAGTTATCACTCAGTTACCTCAGCAGTTAAAACCCCGATAATCAGCAGAGCACACAGGTAAATGAGGACTAAGTGTGGAGTTAGGAAACCTGATGGCTGACGTTAACAAATGGCTCATAACATCCAGCAGGGTTATGCTGACCAATGGAGCCCACCCCAAACTAACAGGCTCAATCTGATCATTCCAGGTCAAGAATTTCCTCCACCTGACATGTGGAAGGAGTAGATAATCATAGCCCAGTGTTTGAGCATTAATGACACACAGCCCAGTTTTTGTTTTTTGAACTAACCACGTCCACTCTGTTGAGTCCAACGAAGACTTAAGGTCACAAGACCTCCAGTGTAGTGCTCCTTTTTGAGTCCTTTTTTTTATCCCATCTGGAGGATGCATGTTAGCTTTGTTTTTGCTTTGCCTTACATAAGTAAATATGTCTCAATCTGCATGTCAGAGCAGCAGCACTCCCTGTGTTTAGCTGCTAGTCGCCTCTCTGTGTCCTCATAAACTTTTTGTTTTCCTACTTGATTGTTTCGGTAAATTCTTGGAGCACCAAAAAATCCCTGACAGTTATCTTGATAGAACAAAATCTTTTCTTTAAGACAGTTTTTTTTTTTTTTTTTGTAAATGCTATCAAGAAAAGAATAATATTTTTAAGGCAGCCTTGTTGTTACGAGCTTAGAGAATTAAGTTTTAGTTTAACATCAGTACATTAAATTTTGATCTTATAAAACTGTAAGGAACTGCCAAATAAAGACCATGCCACGTGTGGAAAGGAAAGATTTATTGGAACCAGACCACAGGGCTGCCACTCCTTTTGGGTTCAGAGTGGAGCGGGTTGGCTGAAAATGGGTAGTGGGTTTTATAAGAGGGAGAGAGTCTCTGGCCTCTGATTATCTGCGATCACCAAATAGAACAGGTCGACATGCCTGGCTAGTTGAGTAACTAGAAGTTCCTGAGGTGTTGTTCAAGCAGAGAAACAAACAGGGGAATTGGGCAAGCAGTCATAAATCAGGGGGTCTGGTTTTGGTGATAGCCTCCGGACCTTCCGCCTGCTCCAAGAATGCCAGGGACCTAACAAAAACTGTCAATGCAACTCTTAAATTTTAGTTAACTTAAACACTTATGTAATCATTTATAAGCTCCATCTTTTTAGGACAACTTACTCTGTACCCCCAAAGGAGACTGCCCTTATCCTTTCTTTTCCCATGTTAAGGACAAACCTTTTTTATAAAATCCTTTTTTTTTTTTTAATGTAAAAGCCATTTTTTCTTTTTTTAACCTTTTATTTTAAAAAACCATATCCTTAGCACCTTTTATATTTTTTGTTACTTGTTGAAAATAATTCCTAAAACCTTTTAACTTAAAGCCTTATATATGCATAAAAACAACAGAAAGAAAGCAACCTTAAAATTATTTTTTGCATAAAAACAATTTATAGAAAGCCCAGTTATTGATAGATCCATGTGTTATAAAAGAGAATTAAATCCCAGATTTTATTTACAACAAAATGAAACAGGCTAAGGTCATTTCTTTACCCAAATTCCAAGACTCCTGATGCAGGCTTGTGGGCAGGGTTTAAAATGCACTTTTTTTTCTGCTCTGAGCTGGAATGTTAACCCCTGAAAGACCTGATGGAAATAAGTTTGAAAACTGGTTTCCTTAAAAGTAGCAGAACAGAGTAAAAGTAACAATTTTTTATATTAACTCTACAATAAGAACCATCTCAAGATGTTTATATATTTATATGCAAAAAAAAAATACTTAAGCAGTTTACCATAGAGATCTCCAATGTAAATAGCCTGGGTTTTTTGTTTTTGTTACCTTACATTTTTGTTGTTAATTGCTAGCACAAAATTTTAAATGACCCCAAATAGTCAGAGAAGTCTTTAAACAAAGAATTTAACCCAAAAGTCCAGATGCTTATTACTCTATTGTATGAGGTGATGATGAAATTTAAAAACAAAAACAGACAAACAAAAAAAACCAGCTAATGCTCGCCAGAGTGAAAAGAAAAAAAAGAGGTCCTTGGAACCAACCAGCTATGAGTGACCATCGCCTAAAGGGCACATTTTCTCCAAAGTTAAAACCGGAATCTTGGAAGCAAGGCCCAAACTCCTGAGATTTTATATGCCAGTTCTAGTCATTTACCTCCACACCACGTAGAGGCCTGGTGAAGGCAGAGAAAAGAGATTTTTTTTACACGGGCTGGGACAAGCCACAGGAAGAGGCAGAGTAAGCACTTAGCCCATCTTTAGATATCCTTGGGGTGCAGTTACAGGTGTGGTTACTTTTTTGTTGTTGTTTGTTAGTGTAAAAGTCAATTTTTGGTAAGCTTGATTGGGTAAGATAACCAGTTTTTAAAAGTGGCAACAGTTTTTCCTCATTGGCTTTATATACACACATGCAAACACACATAAAAAGTTTTAGGCATGCCTAAGGTAAAGCGTGCATAAAAATGAAAAAAAAAAAAAACCCTGAAAATCAGTCTTAGTAATTAATCATTGGTTTTTCTGGAAGTCCAGGGGCAAAAGAAGTTTTTGCCCAATGCTTGATAGACCAATACACACATTTATATAATTATATTAACTTAGAGTACTCTTAAACAATGTAGCCATAGATTAGGTGTAATATTCTGGGGGTGGGGTGGAGAACAAGCTAATAGATCCTCTGCTTTTGGCGAACTGTTGCTTGGATGTTTTAGTAAGACTTACAGAATGTTATATTCTGACTAAGGCTGGGTACAATAACAAGATTTTAAAATGACCTTGAACAACAAAACCTTCAGTACAAGCAAGAAAGAGAAAACAAATCGCAGACCAGAAGAATGTGCCAAGAGTCAAAAATCTTTGTTATCCTTATAACTGCCATTTCCCTCTTTTCCATTTTTTTTCCTCTCAAGTTTTCTCTAGTAGCTAAAGCCTGTAAGGTAGCTAATGACACTGCATCTATATAACATTTCTATAAAGTTTAGGTTTTTCTCCTCCTTCCTGCAGAGTAGTCTAATTGCAGGATGGTGTTACAGTTAGTGCTTCCCCCTGCTGGCCAGCACTCCTAGTCTCCCAAAGGGTATTTAGGGCAAGCCTGGGAGCAGTAGAAAATGAAGATCTTTTTCCATAGGCTCTCAAGGTCAAGATCCTTTTAATGCCTAATAAGCAAGTGGGGGT